CTGTATATATATTGTGAGGGTTACATTGTTTCAGCACCTCACACACTAAACCACTCCAGTTCCTCCCACACCACATCCTCGCCACCATCTCCATTCCCTCTCATACCCACTCTTTTAACTCATGCACAGCTTCAGAGGATAAATTACTTTGACTTTTTTGGGGGTTATCCTAGATAATTTACACTATGTATCATAATTGTACTTATGGGTACCTGTGCCTAAATAAACTTATTTATCAAAATATATAAAGAAAACAATATCTAAGGTTGGCAACGAGTCTGGCACCAGAACTGAGAGGTATGAAAAAATATCAAGATTTTCATTATGTGATGCGTTACTGCCTTCGATCATTGCTACAGTAAATTTTCCTTTCATAAATTCCCAGTACAACTCTTTTTCTGGGTGAAAATGAACGAAGGAAGATGATCAGTAGAGTATTTAAAATAATAATAATGCAAATTTAACTATATGGGATATTTACCCCGTTAATAAATGCTCTGACCAGACCCATGATATATGATAAGGTATATATATATTATGTGACCAATACAAAACAAATCAATAACATCACCAATAGTTAGTTATGATACAGGCCGCTCAGATACAGGACACTGGTAACGCTCAGAGTTTAAACCAATGGTTCCCAAACAAGACACTGGTAACGCTCAGTTTAAACCAATGGTTCCCAAACTTTTTCAGGCTACCGCCCCCTTGGCTCCCAGGCCACATCCTTACCACCGCGACCCCACACACACATACGAACACATCTCTTTCTTGATATCAGGTTGGCCGGGTCACCATCTGGAAAAGACCCGGGCCGGGAGAGTACCGGCGAATCAAGAAGATATTAGGTTTACTGAAAATTCAAAACAACAACTAATCTAACACAATAAACAATGTGTACAAATACAAAATAACATAGTAAATAAGTTTATTTAACAATAAATTTACATCTCATCAGTAACTACATTATTTTCACAATTTTAATGAGATGGATGTACTTGGTGCAGGAACATCTTTGAGCGCGAGTTCAAATCCCGCCCGTGGTATGGTTTGGAACATCTGCTTCTCAACATCAGTCTTGAAGGTGTACTAAGAAGTCTTAGATCCCCACGTTCAATAATTTTCAGTCAGTTTCTTTACTCGGAAAGAAGTTTGGTGACTACTGAAACCTCACTCTACTAAATATGACGTTGGAGAGGCAATAAAGAACATCTTGACTTTGTTCCACAGTGCAGGGTAGTGGTCACAGTGCAGGGTAGTGGTCACAGTGCAGGGCAGTGGTCACAGTGCAGGGTAGTGGTCACAGTGCAGGGTAGTGGTCACAGTGCAGGGTAGTGGTCACTGCAGGGTAGTGGTCACAGTGCAGGGAAGTGGTCACAGTGCAGGGTAGTGGTCACAGTGTAGGGTAGTGGTCACAGTGCAGGGAAGTGGTCACAGTGCAGGGTAGTGGTCACAGTGCAGGGAAGTGGTCACAGTGCAGGGTAGTGGTCACAGTGCAGGGAAGTAGTCACAGTGCATGGTAGTGGTCACAGTGCAGGGTAGTGGTCACAGTGTAGGGTAGTGGTCACAGTGCAGGGAATTGGTCACAGTGCAGGGTAGTGGTCACAGTGCAGGGAAGTGGTCACAGTGCAGGGTAGTGGTCACAGTGTAGGGTAGTGGTCAGTGTAGGGCAGTGGTCACAGTGCAGGGTAGTGGTCACAGTGCAGGGTAGTGGCCACAGTGCAGGGTAGTGGTCACAGTGCAGGGTAGTGGTCACAGTGTAGGGCAGTGGTCACAGTGTAGGGTAGTGGCCACAGTGTAGGGCAGTGGTCACAGTGTAGGGTAGTGGTCACAGTGTAGGGCAGTGTTTACAGTGCAGGGTAGTGGTCACAGTGCAGGGTAGTGGTCACAGTGCAGGGTAGTGGTCACAGTGCAGGGTAGTGGTCACAGTGCAGGGTAGTGGTCACAGTGTAGGGCAGTGGTCACAGTGTAGGGTAGTGGTCACAATGTAGGGTAGTGGTCAGTGTAGGGGAGTGGTCACAGTGCAGGGTAGTGGTCACAGTGCAGGGTAGTGGTCATGGTGTAGGGTAGTGGTCACAGTGTAGGGTAGTGGTCAGTGTAGGGTAGTGGTCACAGTGCAAGGTAGTGGTCACAGTGCACTGCCCCCTTTCAAACAAAAAACTACAGGGTAGTGGTCACAATGCAGGGTAGTGGTCACAGTGCACTGCCCCCCTTTCAAACAAAAAACTACAGGGTAGTGGTCACATTTCAGGGTAGTGGTCACAGTGCACTGCCCCCTTTCAAACAAAAAAAAACTACAATAAAAATTAATTTAGTTCAAATATAACACTGAGTAAGCCTACACAGGGTAGAAACCAACGTTATTGTAAGTGATGTGGGGGGTCGCAGGGGCGTAAAGTTCACCCATCTGTCAGTATTATTAATTCCAGCAGCGTACGTGGCTTCCACGTGGAGAATTATATTTTCGGTTCTGTCGTAATACATGTTGATACATATGCAGTGAATTATATGCGTGATAGACTAGATCAGTCGACTCAAAACCTGCTGCCTCGGTTCACCTAGCTGTAAATAGGTATCTGGGTTTTAGTCGACTGTTTGGCATCCTGGGCATGGCGAGATTTACCTATCCTAAATTAACCTAACTTATAATAAAGAAAATAAGATGATGTTCAATAGCACGTAAAAAAAAGCGGCAGTAAAATGAAAGCAGGTAAAAGGGTGGAAACACTGGGTGTGTTTCCTTACACCTGTTGTCCCCGTTTTTCTAGCCAGCAGGTAGATACCTGGGTGTTAGTTGACTGGCGTGGGTCGCATCCTGGGGGACAAGACTGAGGACCCCAATGGAAACAAGACAGACAAAATCTTACCTTATCTTATAGGTGTATGTATGTTTCATTTGTAATATATTAGCCGAAGAAAAATACGAGCATTTTTGTTTCATCAGACTGTAGTCTGAGAAGTCCCTGTGCCCATGTCAAGTACTTGCCTAGGCGTATTCACGTAGCTTACAGAACGTGTAGTCATAGCTCCTGGCCCTCCCTCAGAACTCCCTTATGTACAGTTCTCCCTATTTTTTTTGTCCTAAAACTCATGTCAACTGTTTGTTCCACGTCAGTACATCTGTACACAGATGTTCGTATATGTAATCTTTATTGTGTAGCCTACACCAGTCCCGTCAGGTATGATGAATGAATCACAGGTGTTGTGTACATGTGACTCCTGCTAATTATGTGCTCTTGGAAACGTAGATAGATGACAGGATTGTACTCACTTATTTGTAGTTGCAGGGGTCGATTCACAGCTCCCGGCCCCGCCTCTTCGCTGGTCGATACTAGGTCCACTCTTTCCCTGCTCCATGAGCTTTATTTATGGATCCTGCCTCCACTACATCACTCTCCAGATTTTTCAACTTCCTGACAACTCTATAACTGAAGAAATACTTCTTAACATCCCTGTGACTCAGTATATATGTACGTTACCTATATTTTAGTCCCTATTTTAGGGAACAGGTTACATGCAGCCTTAATAATGAAAAAACAGTTTTTTAGCTTCCCTGTTATTTCGGACAGCCTCATCATCATACAAAATGGTTATTTATAATCGTAACCATAATTTTTAAAGGGGTGGAGTGGTAAGCCAGCGGAAGGCCTCGGTCAGATGACCAAAAGCTCCAGCTTTGGGTCATCATATGACTAAGACCCGCGTCAGGAAACACTTGTCCTGTTTCCTGATAAATGGAAATAAGTCACTCTGTCTGACTTTTTTGGGTTATCCTAGGTTCTCTACACATATGCTGCTATGTATGATAATTCTATGTAACTGTATTTGTGTATACCTGAATAAACTTATTTACTTACAATACATACCTATCCTTCCTGGAATCAAATCTGATTAAATCCCATCCCACATATGCTGCTATGTGTGAAAATCTATGTAGCTGTATTTGTGTATACCTGAATAAATTTACTTACACATGCACTGTTTGTGGGGGTCACAGTGCATGTGTAAGTAAGTAAATTTATTGTTAAGTCCTTCTCCGTAAATTAAATAATAATTTTGAGTGTAAGTGTTGTCGTTTTCTCTCATATGTCCCACGAGGTTTAGAGAAAATGCTTGCAGGGTAAACTATTACATCAAAATATGCTACGCTAATAATAATCTTTATTTCTACAATACACAAATAACCCGCGCATAAAAGAGAGAAGCTTACGACGACGTTTCGGTCCAAGTCGGACCGGAACGTCGTCGTAAGCTTCTCTCTTCTATGTGCGGGTTATTTGTGTATCGTTCCAGCCACGGTATTGTGCCTTTTTTGTTATTTATTTCTACAAGTGCATGTACTATCATCATTATTCTTAATATTATATATAATGAGAAGCGTTAAAACAGTTGGAGTAAAACAGCCCCCGGGAAACGAAAGGCGATCAGGTATGATCCAAGGAAGGGGAGGACAGGTCCTATTGTACAAATGAAAAACAGGAATAAATAAAGGGATGTAAATAGCGTGCTGAAAATATCCAGCCAAGACAGGACTCGCAGCAATGGTTTCAAGTTGGAAAAGTTCAAATTCACGAAGGACATAGGAAAGCACTGGTTTGGTAATAGAGTTGTGGATGAGTGGAACAAACTCCCGAGTACCATCATAGAAGCTAAGTCCTTGTGTAGTTTTAAAAATAGGTTGGATAAATACATGACTGGGTGTGAGTTGGACCTGACTAGCTTGGGCTACCAGGTCTGGTGCCATGCTCCTTCCTTATGTGGAAGTGACATGGCTAGGTGGTCATTGTTCTAGACCGGGGGGTGGCATGGACCTGCTTCGCATGGGTCAGTAGGCCTGTTGAAGTGTTCCTTCTTTCTTATGTTCTTATTTCTTGACTCAAGAGCCCAAAGAAATCTCGTGAGCAGTAGTACTAGTAGAGAGTTCGGCTTACAACTGCAAAGACCCGGGTTGAATCCTGGGATGGAAGTAACATAAGAACAAGTCTGCTTGTCTGGAG